ATCTGGATGTATCCAAGTAGTGACGAATGTGCCAACCAATTAAGGAATCAAAGTCCAAGTAAATACAAATTCTAAAACCAATGCTTGAACTTGTGATATATACATAGAGACACACATGACACCGCGTTAATCAACTCTATTATCTTTTGTACTTCCTTTGTAGGAAATTTTTGGTATTTGTAATGTAACGTCATCTTATTAAAGATACTTGAGGCGTGTCTCTGGCATACGCCATCTAAATAGACAACAACATCGGGACCCCTTCGTCTTTTTTGTTCAGTCCATAAGTGTAATCTGGATGTATTCAAGTAGTGGTGGATGAATCTAGGAGCCACGTGCTCACCCTCAATTTTTTTTTTAATTATATATATCTATATAATAAAATAATTTATAATTTAAATTTTAAAAATAAATAAAATAATTTTTACTATTTACGGTTGAGATCGTTTTTAATTTTACTTTATAGTTAATCTAACGACTAATATTAACACCTTAAATTTAATAGAAAAAATAAGGCCCTAACGGTGTATTTGAAGTGACTTTTTTAAAGTACTTTTAAAAATTATTTCTTATAAATACTTTTAAAAAAATAATATTTGAAACTGCCCTACCACTATTTCTACCACTGTCGTCGCCTCCGCCGCCATTGTCGCCACCGTTGTCGCCGCCACCACTATCGTTGCCACCGCCACCCGCCCCAGCCATTGCCACCACTCCCACCGCCACCACCACCACCGCTATTGCCACCACGTTCATTGCCACCCATCACAACCATTATTGTCTCATACCACTAGTATTATCGCTCACCATCTCTCACCCCTATTACAAATTGATGCTTAAATTTCTTTATCTCTTCTATATATTTGTGATTTGATTTTAAATATGAATACAAATATGTTTATTGTTTATCATTTTTTATTACTCTGTGTCTTCAAGCACAGTCAATAACTAATATATAATAAAGTATAATACAATTTAAATCTTAAAAGATAAACAAAATGATTTTTGTCTTTCGTGGTTGAGATTTTTTTAAATTTTACTTTAAAGTTAATCCGATGACTAATATTAATGCTATAAATTTAATAGAAAAAATATGCTCATAATAGTGTGTTTGGGGTGAATTTTTAAAATTGTTTCTAAAAAATAAGTACTTTTACAAAAAAAAAGTAGTATTTGAAACTGCACCACCATCACCACTCCCACCACGCCACTACCATCACCAGCACCACCACCGCCGCTCCACCATCACTACCACTATCGCCATAACAACCACCACCATCACTGTCACCATCACCTCTGCAACAACAACCATCATTGCGTCGCCACCACCACTGCTGCAACCCCACCACAATCACAACTACACCCACCCCTCACTACCACCGCTGTCACCATCCTACCACCAACACCTCTACCACCACCACCACTACCACTTCCACAACCACCCATCACCACTAGAACCACTGTCGCCACCCCAACATTGCCTCTATAACAACAATAACCACCATTGTCATTGCCTTGCCACCATCACTTTTGTCACCCCATTACCACCATCGCCTCGCCACCACCACTATCGCCACCCCACCACCTTATCCCCACTATTACCACCACTATCGTCACCCCACCACCACTGCCACCTCCGCCACTCCACCACCACATCCACTGTCCCTCCATCACCCCTACCACCACCCCTCCACCGTCTCACCACCATTGTCATCGCAGCCACCCCACCACCACGACCACCGCTTCCACAGCCCCACTGCCACCATCACCACCACCACCCCTCACCACCAATTGTTACCATCATCACCACCGACCATTATTGTCATCTCATTCTTATATTTATTACCACTACCACCATCATCCCACTACCCCCATCGTCCACCGTCATCACACACCACCACCATTGTTGCCCATCACCACTCACTACCACAACCACAATCACCTATTGTCGCACATCATCGCCGCCAGCCACTGTCACTCACCCTATCACCACCCGTCATCGCCCACTACTGTCACTCATCCCTACCACGCCTATCACCACCGTCATTCACCACCACCCATTACACTATCGTCTAGAAGCACCTGTAGTCATCGACCACCACCATTATTACCGCCACCACCACCGTCGTCACCCCACCATCACCACTGCTAACCACCATCACCATCGCCCACGACCATCACTACCCACACCAACCACCATAATCGCTGTCACCCATGATTGCCACTACTACCATCTTCATCCAAAATTTACCACAATCATCACCGTTTTCCAACCATAACCGCTTACCCCCACTACAATCGGTGTTCAAATGTTTTTCTACTCTATATTTGTGATTTAATTTTAGTTGTGAATACAAATATGTTTATTATTAACTTTTTTTTACTACGTATCTTCAGATACGAGAAATAACTAGTATATATATAATTTAGCTACATTTTTAGATTTAATAAGCTGTGTCCACCCTTAAAATTGGCCTTGATTTGTATATTTGTAAGTTCTTTTGTTTATAAATTTGTAATTAAAAATTTAAATTGTCTATAATTCACCTACAATTGATCTCTAATTTTCTAATTGACTTATTTTAATTGAATTCTAGAGATATTATTACACTTACTTCTTGAATTTTTATTTAATAACTTTACAGTTTTGATATAAAATATAAAAATATAACAACGTCAATTTTTTAAGATCAATGAGAAATAGCTTAAAATAAATTTATTGTTTAAATCGACTCTCAATTGGAAATATAATTTACTTATTATATCTCGAAGGTAATTAACGGTTGATCTTAATATGAACATTTGGTAAAAAATAATATTATTTGGTAATTACATTTTTTTTACATTTAATTTTTTTTTTGACGTTTTATTTTTGTGAATCTTTTTTGTGGACAGTTTGGATTTTAATGAAATTTAAATTTGTGATCTATACTATTTTATCAACATATATAAAATTAAAGTCATTTTTTTGAAAGCTTAAAAGTCATTAATCATTTCGGGTCGTAGAGTCGGTCATAGTTGAAGTGACCATCCTTAAACTAATTTCTGGGCTCTGCCATCCATCCAAGGATTAGCATCTATAGGCAATTTGAGCACAAACTGAACACTTTATATTTTTCTATACCAATTTCTATTAATTTAATGCCATAATTATGTCGTTGATTTTGAGCAGAAACTATCAAGTGATTATTCTAAAAATTACTTAAAGTTATGACATAATTCTAATCTAGTGATCCAAACTACTTGACACCCAGCATACTAAGTTTCCAAATCGTACCCAATTTGTATGGCTGTTTCTTAGAGCATCTCAATCTTCAGTCAAATTGGAGTCAACATTTAATTAAAAAATTTAATTTGATATAAAACACTCGAAAGAAGAAATTCAAAGTTAAACGAGAACAAACTTAAATTTAAAAGATTTTTTGTACTTTCCACCTTAAAAAATTTTAAATTCTCATTTTTTAATCTCGAATATTAAATTTTTCACATTAAATTCTCAATGTATCAAAAGTGTTGCAAAGTAGTCCTTCTGTTATATTTTTTGTCAAAAACTAATACATTGACACTGACGAAAAAATTAACGAAAATGTAATAAAAATGTCATATTTTGTATAAGGTTGTCTTACTCTTATTTAAATTGAAATTTAAATCTAAATAATTTTTTTTTAAAAATTTTCTTCAATATTATACCCAATAAATATTGATTGCCAACAAGACAAGAAAGCAAATTTCAATAAATGAAGACATGAATAAGTACAAAGTTCCAAAATTTCATATGGGAAGTAACGTGTGGAGCATTCTTTAGAAAGCCGTACGACATCCTTACAACACGCGTTACCCACACGCCACTCATATTGAATTCAACCCTTTCGATCTCACACTTTTTACATTTGTTTCAATTATCTACTCTTAAATTGATTGGATCATATTAAGAAGTTTTGCAAATCTTTTATTTTTTCCTCCCCTAAGTAAAAATAATTAAGATATTGCCAAATAAAAATTAATATTATTGTTTACACCCAAAAATAATAAAATCTGATGGTCATGAAAGAGTTTATAAGAATTCATACTTAATAAAGTAATTAAGAAAATAGCACCCTAAAAATCACAAATTGCTCAATTGGACCTAACAAGAATCTACAAAAGCTTTGCGATTGGTTGTTAGAAACACGATCTTAAGCGGAGTAAGTTTAATAACATAGAAAGGGACAAAAACTAATACGTCACAACATCTTCTCTACCTGGTGTCATTGACTAAAATTATAAATAAGCATATAAAATTAATGAATCTTTTCAAATTTGATAATCACTAATAACTTTTATAGTCAATAACTATTATGTGAATTTAAATGGGGTTTACTTGTCCTACTTATTCATTTATTATTGGTCGGAGACATTAAGTGGCGATAATAATGTTGTGTAACCAACATGTCTTAGACTTAATGGTACTTCTTTTCTTGAAAAATTTTTGCTTTTTTGAGATCAATAGTTCAAATTCTTTAGGTGATAAAAAATATAGTTGGTTGATAGGACGAATCACAGTTGGATAAATCGTCTTTAAATCTCTAGTATGGGTTTAATTTCCTATTTAAGTGTAAGTCCTAATTAGGAGCAATTTATGCATCCGGTGTTTCTTCTCAATTTTACTCGGACTTAGAGGCTTGAGCGACATTAACGTCCCTCTATACAGGAGACTGACCAAAAATTTCCCTTATTACCCAAAAAAAAAAAAATAATAATAATAACTTTATGTAATCGATAGGTAAAAACATTATTAGAATCTCATTATGATCAATTAAAAAATCTTAAAATATAGAGTATTCAAATCTAATAAATTCAATTAAAAATAAATCCACACAAAAAAAAAAAGAAGATACCAAACTTTTGAGTTTATGAAGACAGTGTCCACATGGTAACCAAGGAATCAATGCCCATATAACAACAAATCTAAACCCAAACCCTCCACCTTGAAATATACGTAGAGACATTATTAACTAATACTTCTCTTCTTGTACTCTCTCTCATTGCTTGTACAACAATCACTATAAGTAAAGACCCAAAAGGCCTTGCAAGTTCACAGACTCATTGCATTCAATGGCGCAATATAGCACCACAGAATCGGAGAAGTCTTTGTTGACAAAACACACAGAGAGGCACTTCACCGCCGGCGAGATTGTCCGGGACATCATCATCGGCGTATCGGATGGCCTCACTGTCCCTTTCGCCCTCGCTGCCGGACTGTCCGGTGCCAATGCGTCTTCCTCCATAATTCTCACCGCCGGCATAGCCGAGGTCGCCGCCGGTGCTATCTCCATGGGACTTGGCGGGTATTCCTGAAAACTGTTTTGAGTTCTAGCTAAATAATTTTTCATTTTTTTTTGGGGTTTTGTTTTTGTCATTGATTTGAAAGATTATTTTATTAGAACATCTCCGATATTGATTCAAATTTATATCAAATTAAGGTAAAACTTATTCTAGATTTAAATTGAAGCAGATTTAAATTCTATATCAATTTTTAACCTATCCAAAATTAAAAGAATTTTTCAGTCTCTCTTGTCTCTCTCTATTACGCCGCTTCCATTGTCAATCATCATCGAAACTTTCACAATTCATTTAAAAGCTTATAATTAAGTTTTTTCCTCTTCATCTTCGATCTTCTTTATTTCTTGTATTTTTCCAAACCCTAATCTCCCATATCTTTCATATTATATAAATCCCAAGTTTACCCATCAATTTTTTTTTTGAATTAAACACTATCTATAGTACAATTTCATGCCACCGATTCTTCTTGAAATTTTAAGTATGCGCTATCCATTCTTCAACATTTCATTTTTATTAAAAACGTATGTTTTTGTATTCTTTGGACTAAACTCATGTCAAAATAGTAATATTTTTTTTTCTTTATCTTGATTTATAAAAAATGATAAGAGCTTAGAACAATCTTAGAATTTTAGGGTAGTTTCTTTATTCTCATGTAGTGTTGTATACATATTCATATTTTTTTTTTAAATTACTCATTTGTGGAGAGATGTAAAAATTTCATTTATTTTATCAAATATCATGATTTGAATGATAAAAAAAAATGAGTTTTGAGATAATAAGAATTTTTTAAAAAAAATTTAAGTAGATATTTGAGTTTATGTTTTTACTCAAATTTACATTCAAATTTGAGTCAGGGCTAAAAATGCTCTTATGTTTAGAATAATTAAATGGTAGTTTTAAAGTAAACTTTAGGGTGTGTGTCTGCTTAGACGATTTGCAATTTTTTATTTTCTTTTTTTGGTATATTCCATCAAAAAGAGTGTCATCTCTCGAAAATCACACGGAAAAACTGGGACAAAATTATTAAAATTTTGAAATAGTTACGATTGAGATCATCCCATTCGATATACCCCCGAGTTTGTTTTGATGTTGACAAAAGTGGCGATTGCCTTGACATTAAGGTTGTCAATTGTTATTGGCAAAATTTGTTTACCTATACTCATTTATAGTCTCTTTTTTCGGTAGGGAATTCGGACCGGTTTATGCATACTTGACTAATTTTTTTTTTAATTCGGTAACAGACAGATTATCTACGTTAGAATTAAAAATTGTCAAGATTCAAAATCATGACGGGTACAACTTATTACCACCTCAGCTACTCTTAGAATTGAATTATTTATAGTCAGGTCTTATGTCTAGATTCTATCCATTTATAGTCGTGTATAGTCGAGTTCTATTGGTGTACAAGTAGAGTTCGTGTGGTGTTTAATATGTTTGGTGTCAACCCATTAATTTAACAGGCTTACTAAATCTAAACACGTTAATTTTCATCAAAAATTGGCAAATGGAATCAGAAATTTGAGGCCTAATTGGTATGAATGCAGGTACCTGGCGGCAAAAAGTGAGGCAGATCACTACATGAGGGAGCTCAAGAGGGAACAAGAAGAAATCATCGCTGTTCCTGATACAGGTATCAAAGTTATATATATATATATATATATATCACCTTCTGTTTCACCTCCTGAATGTACAAACTTCTGATTTTTAATTCTTTTTTAGGAAGTTATATTAAGAAATATTAATAATACTGAGTTTGCTTGGGACTATACTGGGATAATGCAGAGGCTGCTGAGGTGGCTGAGATACTGGCACAGTACGGGATAGAGCCGCATGAGTACCGGCCGGTGGTGAATGCCCTCAGGAAGAATCCACAAGCATGGCTTGATTTCATGATGAAGTAAGTGATTGCCATGTGGAAAAATTACACTTGCACCCCTCAACTTTGATCCGGTCTCACAATTCCTCTTCAACTATTATATTTCTCACATTGTATATTAAACTATATAGTTATTAGTTTCATAGTACCCCAACGTGTATTACAAATTACCCAGAGGCGCGAACATTTCCCCATCAAAAGTACCTCAGACGTTTGCTTTTGACTTTTGAATAACGGGACAATTGACAATTTTAATAGTTTAAGGAACCAAGTGGGATTGAAGCATAGTTGATGAGGTCAAAGTATAAATTGTCTGTCATATTTATAGGCTTTTTAGTGGCATTCCAAGATCCAAGTATTTTTATATAGAACAATACTATCGTGACCAAATTTGAGAACCTAATACATTCCAAGATCCAACCATTGTTTTGAACACTAATTTTCCAAATAGAGGGGACAAGCTTAGACTTTGTACAACGAAGTGGGCTTGTCCGAGTAATTAAGGAGATGTCTAACATTAGATGCACTTAAGATCAAATCTCAACAATGGTTCTTCCCCCCTACCCCTTCATTTATGAATAGGCCAAAGTCAAGACCCATCATTGTAACTCAAAATGGATGAAGATCCACCCATTACGAGAATGTCCTAATTCGCATGATGCTAGATTGCTTGTGCATTGGTGGAACATTATCTTGAATATAATTGCTCCTACTTGGAAGCAGATCTCTCTTTGGTTTGAATTTGGGTCCAGCAGAACTTTTTTATGTATTGTTGAGACTTCCTTCCAAGTGACAAAGGCATAGCACCAAACCTTTTCTATATCTCACAGTTTTGAAAGTGACAATGGCATAGCATGCGTAGTATGCACATTCTACTTTAGCGTAGTATAACTGTTTAGAATCCCAAAAAAGGACCAGTTGAACCTATCCACAATACAGTAGTCCTTGTTTCAAAATGATATATGCAATTTCAGCCAATTCAGGCTTGCATTGTCCTGAAGCTTATATTAGTTTGTTTCACTCCATGTATTAAATGGCCATAAGAGTATACTCAGGACATCTGGGAACTACGTCTAGATGGGGTCGAGGATGTTAAATGATCTGAGCAATTTAAGAATGGCTCGGTTTCAGTTTGTTCAGACTTGTATGTACAAATTATATAACCATCCAAATTTGGTCGGGTTTTGAAGCTCGTTTTGAATATGTGTGGCTCCCTTGAGTACAATAGGTCAATGTGTATATGTAATGCTAATTGTCAAATAATCCGTCTATTCAAAAAAATGAACAACTCTAAATTTATCCTCTAACATCTCCAGTGCATACACACTTATTTCTCCCTTCTTTTTTAGATTTTATGAGAAATTTGAACTTTTAGGGTTAAATTTCATAGTTGATTTCATAGATTTTGGGCAACTCTTTGTGGAGAAATTTATTTTTCTAATATTGATGAGTACAAGGATGGGCTTGATTTTCGGGATTGTTGCTAAGAAATTTGAGCTCAGTGTTGGCTCGAATGCTCGCAAAAAAATTATTTTGAGAATATAATTTTTCAGTCGAGCTCGGCAAGTCACAATTGAGCTATGTGAGCTATAGTACAGTTTACTCCAATACCTTTTTCTACGCGCAACACAGTTTCTTTGAAATGATCTTTGCGCAATCATATACATTTTTCCTGCCTGAAACGCAACAAGCAAAGTAGAGATTTGACAAAGATCTGTTGGCGATTGCAGGTTTGAACTTGGACTGGAAAAGCCAGATCCCAAAAGAGCACTGCAAAGTGCACTCACCATTGCCATTGCATACGTTATTGGTGGATTGGTTCCTCTCATTCCTTACATGTTCATTCCAGTGGCAAGGAAGGCTGTGCTGGGATCTGTTGTTTTGACATTAATTGCATTGCTGATCTTTGGTTATGCCAAGGGTTACTTCACCGGAAACAAACCCGTCGGCAGCGCGATTCAGACAGCCCTGATTGGAGCCATTGCTTCTGCAGCTGCTTTTGGCATGGCCAAAGCTGTCCAAGGATAGAGAAGTTTTTGTATTGGTGAATGATGCAACTGTTTTGCCAGAAGTTCTAGCTTTTATGAAATAACTTGTTTGAAATGTTTTTAGTCTTGTAACGCCAATAGACGTCAGTACAATTTTTTTTTTTGATACTGTTACTGTTACTGTCATAGATCTAGCCTATGTTCGACGCCATGTGACTCATAATGCTGGCAATGAGTTGTGTCATATATAGTCTGTCGTCTCATATTAAGTTTAAGTCATGTATACAATATTTTACATAAGTTTATATCGTGTTTAGCTACATTCATCATGATCTATTTACTAGCTGGGCTTTGACAGTATAATTCACTCATCATCTAATCTTGTCAAGACTAAACTTAGATCTACTAACTACCCATTGCTTATGTTTCAAGTGCACGAATCATATCTCAAATTGCTATGCCTAGTAACCGGTGAGACTTGAACTTTTTTTTCGGTAAGAGAGACTTATGATAATTTGACAATATCTTAACTATTCGACAAATTTACTTAACTATTAGGGAAGAAAAAGAAAAGAAACAAAGAAAAAGACCCAAAATTAGGAGAAAGTACCGTATGAAAAATAGAAAAATACCGTATGAAATTTCTGTTTCATTTGATGGTGAGTGAAGCTACATTATAGATGGTTCCTTCTGCAATAAAAGTTAACATAGATTCCTGTCGTGTCGAGATAATTCAGGATAGATAAGAGCGGGGAGGGGGGCCAGTTCTTCAAGGGGAATTCCCATTTAGACTTCACATGGGCCCACACAATGGCCCAAAACTCAGTGGGCCCTTTAGGCCATATATTAGCCATAGTCCGCTATCGGGAGGGAGACCCATGGATAGCTCAGACCTCATTCAAGCTTACTATAAGTCGAGTTTTTCACCATATCCAAGCCAAGAAAAACTTTACTCCCACGAAAAAATTAAAGTTCCACACCTATTTTTCCAAATTGGGATACGCCTTTAATTAGGCCATGAGAGAGACAGATGGAAGTTGGGTTTGGAGGAATATGGGGCCCTAGGTATAGGTCGATCGTAGAATGCAGTTTGACCGAAACACCTGTACTGAGACTTTCAACCTCTATGGCCCACAAAGATTAAATAATTTGCTTCTACCTTGTTTGGTAATAATTGATAACCTCAGTAGTAACACACAGGCACCACCATATGCCTGTCCATATTCTGAGTTTTGACAATTACTGTTTTGACTCATGTGGTTTGGCATATCTGTGGGACAGCATTCAGAAAGTTTCATGTGTTTACTAAGGAAAAAAAAGGCCATTAAACTAATACTATAATGACAGTTCATTCTTATCCAAAAGTTGATTAAAATAGCATGTTTTAATCATGAGCCATCACTCTAGCAAGTGGAATTTAGATGCCATTCTCTGTTTTGAATGAATAGAACATGCACCCAATTTGAAAAAAGCCCACCCTCTTTTAGAATAAGTAGATTATGTAGAATGGAGTCTTCTTATTCTTTCTTTTAATTTTAAGTGATAAGATTGAATTTTAACCCTTACTTCATCCTAGGGTATAATTTGGGCTGCTCAACTTCGATCCTTACGTCATCTTAGAATATAATTTGGAACTCTAACCCTTACCTCATCCTAAGATAAATATTTGGCAACATCAAATGGTAAAAAGTATTTGAATTAGTTTACACGTGCCTCAATTGATCTTTTTCTTAGTCTGATCAAAGACATATATCGTATACATTTAACCACTAAGTTATAAAAGCTTTGACGAGTTGATCATTCTCTTATGCAATACCCTGAAATATCCTCCGTTTATTCTCAAAATGAGATAAAGTTGGCGAGGGAATTATTCTTAAAGTATTCCTATTTCCATACTTGTAGGATACATCCATTTATCGTGAAGAGAAGGTTGAGGATACCTGACAACTACCGCCATCCAAACTATGGAATAAATGCAAAGGATATCTTTGACAAACCCATAACCCATTTGTTTTTTTCTCTATTTATAAATCAACCCCTCAGTATAATTGGTTCACTTAAGATATATTGGGGTCTAGATCCTTGGGAAAAGTAAATAAAGTTCGATGAATCCAAGAGAAAAGCCAATTTTAGTGTAGTGGGGGAAGACATTAAATTGGCACCTTGTAATGTGGGGGTTGAGATTAATCAACATGTTAATTCTTCTTACCGTTGATTGTATCAAAGTCAAGTATAAAAGGAGAAAATGTCCAATCATCTTTGAGTTTGACTTTTTAACCGCTATGTAGTTTTTTTAACAAAAAAATATTATACAAATCCAATAAAATTAAAAAAATTATAATCTAAATACATATCATATATTAGACGAATACTAGATGAGTGTTATTGAAAAAGTTGATAGAACCCACTTATTTAAAAGATGATATACATTTGAATTATAATTTTCTGGATTTAATTTGAATTGTATAACATTACTGTTTTTTTAACTCAATTGGAAATTAGTAAGGAATATTCTATATCCTTTTGTAAGAACCGCAAATCACAAGGGGGCCTAGCACTAATTTGGGATCAAAGTCTTGAAATTAAAGCAAGAATCATATGCTAATTAATTCTGTTCATGCCAACTTTTTCTTACAAATTTTCCTTTAATCAATTGATGTAACACCACAACATTGATGGTTAAGTGAAATTGAGTATATTTTACTAATTCAAAAATTCATATAAAAGTGAAAAAAAAAAATTTAATAAAACATGATAATTGTAGCATGTTGTGCCCTATTATACACAATTTTCTTTTGCGTTTCTTCAATCCACATTTCACTTGCTTGTTTTAAGTTTCGGATCGGGTTTGATTTGTCTTTTAAATGAGTTTTATTTGAATAATTTTTTAGTCTCGTTTAAAAAAATAAATTTAAAAAAATTCGATTCGTTTATATATAAAATAATCGAGTTACTCGAATTCAGCTTGGGTTTTAACTTAATTTGAGTTCGATTGAATTTCTAAACGAATAGAGATCGAACAATTCAACTCGAACACAACAAGTTCGACTTCAACTTATAAAATTCGGTTCAATTATAAGTCTTACATCCGAGTTGTCCACGTAAGAACCACTATCATTTTCCATGTACTGCCGTTGCATACTCAACATTCCCACTCAAACCTTATCTCTTCTATTTCAAAGTGTGAACAAAAACCGGCCCTTTTTTTTGTCTTCTTGAAGCTCTCTTGTCCTTTCCAAAAAATTTACACATATGAAAACACGTGTCACATTTTCATGCCTCCACGTTGTCCATGCTCTTATATCTTAGCTTATCCATAATCCACTAATGATATTGCTTTATTAATTTATTGACCCACTAGCGTTAAAGCTCATATGCTTAGTGGGGTCCATGCTGATGACGTGGAGGATATGCAAATGTGACATACAGTTGTGTTTTTGACTCGTTAGGCAAGCTTAGCTTAGCTGGCCTAGGCTCAGGCTCAAACGCCCATTGTGTCGGCCAATTAATTAAAAAAAGGGATTGACAGATTTATATATATATAATAAAACAGCATTGTCTTGGTGCAATGTACGTGATTCACAATTTTTTTTTTATTTTTCTTTTCTCATTTTCGAAAGATTTCATCTACGCCTTTTATAGTTAAATCTAAATTTAATGGTACTTTCTCTCAATTTTAAAATTTTACTGCACTCTTTTTTGCTTTAAACTATTGAATCATGGACATCCCCTAAATGTAATTTTTGTCTGTAACAATAGATAAAGTACACGATTTGACTACTTATTCTTTAGAAATGTCAAAATTATCCTCTATTATATTAATAGACTAAAATGTCTTGGATCGACACTTTATAAAGTTTAATTTTTTTACTTTTTTAATAAGTAAAAAGATATATTTATATCTAATGAAATTATTTTTTAAACAAAAATAAAATCATTGAACATAATAAGGTCAAAAATGCATAAAAAAAAAACAAAATTAAAAAAAATAAATTTAATATTTAACTAAAAAAATAATTTTAATTATAGTCATTTTTAATTAATCTCAATAAATTTTTATCATTTTAAAGCATTATATGATAACTTTGTTACATTGTGGTATTTATAACAAAGTTATCATATAACGCTTTATAATATATATATATATATATATGTGTGTGTGTGTGTGTGTGTGTGTTATCATATTATCACTTATTTAGTTACATAATTGAGTTTTTATAATTTTTAGTTAAAAATATTTTCTCTTCAATAAAAATTACAATCGATAAAGTCAACGATAAAATCCCACCCACTCTTCACATATCAAATTTAAATAATAAATTTAGTCTTAATTTGATAAATTTAAATATTAATTAAATAAATTTGAATATTGCTTTGATGAAATTAAATGTTAATTTGGTATTAAATTAAAAAATGACATTAATTTGATGAGGTTAAATGTTAAATTAATGAAATTTAATATTCTATTTAAGATAATTAAATAATAATTTTGTGTTAAATTAAATTAAATAATATTAATATTATTAAATTAAATATCAATTTTGTGTTGATTTAACGAGATCAAATGTTAATTTAGTTTAAATTAAAAAAAATATGTTAATTTAAAAAAAATTAAATATTAAATTGATGGACTTGAAATTTAATATAATAGAATTAAAAAGGAGTGCAGTAAAATTTTAGAATTGGGAGAATGTGTCTTTAAAGTTAGGCCTATTTACAAGAGACGTGAATGAAATTTATGCTATAAACTAATGAGTATTTCTATAAAACAATGCTCTCCATTAACGTCGTAAATAAATAATAATTGATAGGGTCGTTAGTGAAATTATAGAATCGGAAGAAAGTGTCATTGAATTTAGACCTAATTACTGAGAGTGTGAATGAAATTTTCCTTCACTTTTTACCCTTCTCACACCTTATTAATTAATAAGAAAGTTTAAAAAATTATAGAAAATTGTGTGGATATAACTAACTTTTTAAAGAAATTTAACTGAATAGTGGATAGTTGGTGAGAGGATTAAAGTGTGACTATAGAAATTAAATGTTGAATTGCGATGAGAAGAAATATATTTAAGGTCCTAAAAACCCTACTTGTGTAAATCTTATATTTTACATGAACGAATTATGCCTTTGTTTTTTTATACCTGGATGGTGTTTATCATTACATACACATGTACAAAGTAGAAGAGTTATATCAGGTATGTGGTCCCACTCTACTCTGGGAAGGTAAAATCATTTCCTAATAACTAGTTCAAATGTCTAAGATATTTCGTATGAGTATTTTTAAAAAATTTGGATTTGACTGACAATTTTTAATTTAAGTCAAACTTTTCTCCATTTCGGTTAACACCATCTAACATAAAGGGTCTCACTTGTAATTATTGAAATGTAAGGGGGTGTCCATGTGAATAAGACAAAACTCAGGTGATCTCCATGTTTTTAACCCTACTAGTTTTTAAACTAGTATTGGTTCAGCCGGGTTCCATTTTTAAGCGGTAAGAGCTTATCGAAACGATAAGCCGAGTCAAAGCCGGACACATAAGTCGAGTCGAGGCCTATGTTTTTTTTCCAAAACTCTCATCAATCACCCATAGCTCGACACATGACCTATGAACCCCCTACTACACCGAACATTGATAGCCACGTGGCGAATTCAACGAGAGAGTACGAGTATTTCACGACAACTCTTCCTCGTGGGCCCCAATCTAAACCTCGTGGCGACTTTAACAAAGCACTAATGGATAGACTCTTCAGATATGATACATTGCAACTATGCTCTTCTTCCACCTTTGATATTCAGATGCCTGCGTTCATATGATCCAACGGTGTTTGGGTAATTATATTTTCTAAACTGGAGTAACTACAAAACATATATGTTTAACCCCCAAACTATATGTTCAAAAAATAAATATATGTTTAACCCCCAAACTTTTTTCTTTTTTAATTACTAGAAATTTTCTGTTTTCTGTTTCCATATACATATATATTGGTTTGTGCAGTATTTTCACGATATCGTTATGATCAATTAATGGAACTTGGTTAAAAAATATTATTGTCTCTATCGTTAACTCGCCGTTTTTAGTGTTTTAAGCATCTTTCAATGGCTCCCTTAATTATGTGTGAAAAATTACCTTATTTAAACACAAAATTAAATTAGATCAGTCACAAAATTAATAATGAAATTAGAAAATTAACAATTATATTTAAATTTAAGATATTTGAATTTATAAGTGGTTCTCAATTAACACCATATTACTAGACAACCATGTGGGGTCTTATTACTATTATCATTAAAATTGCAGCTAAAAATTTAAGAATTTTCATTTGGGTTTTTAGTTTGCTCCCAAAATTTGTTCAATATAAAATTACTGTATTTAGTGAATTTCGATAAATTTAGTAATTTGATTGTAATTAATAAAAATTAGAATTGAAAAAAAGCCAAATCATAGTTAGTATACGTGTATATGGACATATGCAAAATAGTATTTTATGTGTATTAGTTACAGTTGACAGAGTATAAAACGAGGTCTGAGGACGCTCAAACCATAAAGATAACAAAAAGAATTTGTCACCTTCAGATATCTGCGTAATTTCTAGATCAGGGTTTTTCACTTTTCGCATTCAAGCGTCAAAGACTGGTAACTTCTTCGACTGTTCTTCAAATTCTCACAATTTTTTTTTTTTGTCTTTGCCATTTTTTTGTCAAATCTTATTTTGTACGTCTCTCTAGGTTGTTGTATTCGATTCAGTAATATCTATCAATCAAAAATGAACCTTTTCAACAGTATATCATTTAGCTGAGTTATAATCTGAATCTATTCTATTCCCTTCCATATATGTCTGGTTGACAAGAAACTTGATGCTTTATCTACTCTGTTGCTTGATTCACTTGCCCAAGTAAAGTTTCCAACAAATTTATCTTGGACCCTTTTGTTGGTTTATTATGATACTCACAAATTCTTACTAATTTGTTGCTTGATATTAGGGTTTACACAAACTTTCTTTGCTTGTCTTGTTTTTGGGTAGTTTTGGTTGTGTTAGTGGAGTTTTTGGCTTATTGGGTTGTTTTTCTTGTTTCTCCTATGTTTGAACTTTGTGTAAGAAACAAGATTTTGGGTCTGATAGGGTTGGGTTAGATAGGTAGTGAATTTATGGTGTCAAGATCATACTCAAACCTTTTAGAGCTGGCCTCAGGCGAGAATTCATCGCCGTCTTTTGGTCGCATGACCCAGAGAATTCCACGTATTATGACCGTCCCCGGAATAATGTCCGATATTGATGATGACCCATCAGAGAGTGTGTGCTCTGATCCATCCTCATCCGTGCAACGGTACCGGATAATAATCGTGGCTAATCAGCTACCCATAATGGCGCAGCGGAAAACAGACAATAGCAAGGGGTGGATTTTTAGTTGGGATGAGAATTCACTTCTTCTCCAGTTGAAAGATGGGTTGGGTGATGATGAGATTGAGGTTATATATGTGGGTTGTCTCAAGGAAGAAATTCACCCAAATGAGCAAGATGAGGTCTCACAAATACTTCTTGAGTCATATAAGTGTGTGGCCACGTTTTTACCACCTGATCTGTTTACTAGATACTACCACGGCTTTTGTAAGCAACAGTTATGGCCACTATTCCACTACATGTTGCCCCTGTCGCCGGATCTCGGTGGTAGGTTCAACCGTTCCCTGTGGCAGGCTTATGTGTCTGTTAATAAGATTTTTGCCGATAGGATCATGGAAGTGATTAACCCAGAAGATGATTTTGTGTGGGTTCATGATTATCATCTGATGGTATTACCCACCTTCTTGAGGAAGAGGTTCAATAGAGTGAAACTTGGGTTTTTTCTCCATAGTCCATTTCCTTCATCGGAGATTTATAAGACTTTGCCCATCAGGGAAGAGCTTCTAAGAGCTCTGTTGAATTCTGATTTGATTGGGTTCCATACTTTTGACTATGCCCGTCATTTCCTCTCGTGTTGTAGTCGGATGCTTGGTTTGTCGTATGAATCCAAGCGGGGCTATATAGGCCTTGAATATTATGGCCGGACAGTTAGTATCAAAATTCTTCCCGTTGGTATCCATATGGCCCAGCTCGAATCAGCGTTGGGCTTTCCAGGGACTCAGGCAAAGGTTGCTGAGCTCATGAAACAGTTTTCTGATCAGGGTAAGACAATGTTGCTGGGGGTTGATGATATGGACATATTTAAGGGGATTAGCTTGAAGTTATTGGCCATGGAACAGTTGCTTGTGCAGCATCCGGAGAAGCAAGGGAAAGTAGTTTTAGTGCAGATAGCCAATCCAGCTAGAGGCCGTGGAAAAGATGTGGAAGAAGTACAGTCTGAGACTTATTCAACTGTGACACGAATTAATGAGACATTTGGGAAACCAGGGTACGAACCAGTTATCTTGATTGATGAGCCCCTAAAATTTTATGAAAGAATTGCTTATTATGTTGTTGCTGAGTGTTGTTTGGTTACGGCAGTTAGGGATGGGATGAATCTTATACCATATGAATATATAATCAGCCGCCAAGGAAATGAGAAACTGGATAAGGTTTTGGGACTGGAACCGTCCACTCCAAAGAAGAGCATGCTGGTTCTATCTGAGTTTATTGGATGTTCCCCATCTCTAAGTGGAGCAATTCGAGTGAATCCATGGAATATTGATGCGGTTGCAGAAGCAATGGACTGTGCTATTGCGATGGCTGAGCCGGAGAAACAAATGAGGCATGAGAAGCATTATAAGTATGTCAGCACCCATGATGTTGGATATTGGGCTCGGAGTTTCTTACAAGATTTGGAGAGGACATGTAAGGATCATGTGCACTGTAGGTGCTGGGGTATTGGATTTGGGTTAAGTTTCAGGGTTGTTGCTCTTGATCCAAATTTCAGGAAGCTTTTAATGGAACATATAGTTTCAGCTTACAAACGGACTACAACCAGAGCAATCCTTCTAGATTATGATGGTACTTTAATGCCTCAGGGGCAAATAAATAAGAGCCCAAGCTCTAAAACTATTGAAATCCTGAACAGTTTGTGCAGAGACAAGAACAATACGGTTTTCATCGTCAGTGCAAGAAGCCGAGGCACATTAGGGGAATGGTTTTCTTCTAGCGAAAAGCTTGGAATTGCAGCTGAGCATGGCTATTTCTTGAGGTTAGTAATCTAAAAGTTTTTACTAGTTCTTTATGTTAAAGGGTCACATAACAAGCATAGGAGTCTAACTGAAAACTGTTAATTGTGTGCTTCCAGAATGAAGCGAGATGCGGAATGGGAAACATGTGTACCGCAAGTAGAATGCAGTTGGAAGCAGATTGCAGAGCCTGTTATGAAGCTTTACACAGAGACAACTGATGGGTCTACAATTGAAGACAAAGAAACTGCAATGGTCTGGTGTTATGAGGATGCAGATCCTGATTTTGGATCTTGCCAAGCTAAGGAACTTCTTGATCATCTTGAAAGTGTGCTTGCCAATGAGCCCGTCACAGTCAAGAGTGGACAGAATATTGTGGAAGTTAAGCCTCAGGTATAAACCTTTTGCCCTTGCCCTTACCATGGCCCTGTTCATATAAATTCATCTCTTCATGATAGCTAGTTGAAGTCCTTTATTGCTTTTCTTTCTTCTTTTGATATGTAACACCTTACATGCTAAATGTACATACCGTGATTCTGATTTTTGTAACTAAGAGTTTGGTATGTTGGACTATGTTTGTTCCTTACGATGTTTGAGTTGGTGTGGAAGAAAAACATTCTCTCCTCTATTATGCGTGTTTTTGTTTTTGGTTTTCCTCAGTATCTCTGTCACAATATCTGTTGTGTCTTACACAAGTGGTCAGACTTTCAAGGACTCAGTATTACAAAAGAAGTAAATTATCAGTTTTTTCAAAGATTCAACAACTTGATAGTTAGAAATTAAATGGTTGAATGCAATTAGGCTTGTGATGTTTTCCTGAATAAAAATAGTTAAACATTGTCAAAGCTCTTGTTATGCATTTCATCTTGATAAGACTTGTTTTGTGACACAATAGATACAAAGTATGATTAATATACATTAGGACTGGCCTTGATGCAAAGGTAAGTTTGTTTTATTGTGACATGGACCACAGGGTTTGTGTCACGCAAACTACTACTCTTCATGCTACACTAAGACTACTATATTGATTTGACCCTTGCCACTCGAGCTTCATCTAATGGACTTCTCTAATTCAGGCGCTGGTTGCTTGATAACTAACACTATTTGATCAGTCTACTGAACTTCATGTTTTTCATTTTTTCCTTACAAATTCAACCTTTGAGATATTTTGCATAGATTTGAGACTGTAGGCCCTCACAAGTTCCTGTATATGCAGGGTGTAAGCAAGGGTCTCGTGGCCAAGCGCCTACTTTCTACCTTGCATGAGAGAGGAATATCCGCAGAGTTTGTTCTTTGTATTGGAGATGACCGGTCAGATGAAGACATGTTCGAGGTGATTACTAGTTCCTTAGATGGCCCATCCATAGCTCCAAGTGCAGAAGTGTTTGCATGCACCGTTGGCAAAAAGCCCAGTAAGGCCAAGTATTATCTTGATGATCCAGTTGAAATTGTTAGATTGATGCAGGGATTGGCATCAGTTTCAGAGAACACGTCACTTTTATAGGCTTTGCAAAACTATTTAACGAAAAAAAGGTGCACTCTATTATGTAGGGATCTCAAAAGTCTTGTCCTTTCCGTTTGTTTATTACCTTAAAAGTTGTAAATTTGTAGACTGAGAGAAGCTGCACAACCAGGTACTTTTTTCCATTGTTTGATCTCTATTTAGTAATGCTGTATATAATGTGTTCTTGCTATTCTGTGTGATCTTGTTCTTTTCTTGCATGTGGTTGGTAATTGGCTCTCATTACACGAAACAGTACTTACTCCATATTTCTGTTCTGCAAGACGGCAATATTGTCTTTAGATGGTAAGGATGTCCAGTCTTGGTTAATGGTGCATCACACGGACAGAATTGTTGAACAAGACAGACAGGTTTTCCTATTTTCTGTGGTTTCTCCAGATTATCTTCATGCTGAAATTGTATTCAGTTAATATGAGTTCCAATTTGTGTTGGTAAACAAGATTGAGCTTGTGGTGTTAAATGGAATTCTTCCGGTCATGGATTTATTGCCATTTTCCTTTTATTGCTTTAGTTTAGGATTGTAATGTTAACCATAATGAAAGAATGGCTCTGATTGTCCACAACATTTCAGGCCAGCTTCTGTATCAACTCATCAGTTGATCAAAGTTCGTAGAGCATCGGGATGTCGGGCAACTCACTATCTTGTTGCTCAATATTGCAGTGTGTCATGGGATATCATTGTGGAAATTGAAGTTTTGTTTTGTCGTCGGATGTGCATTTTCCTTCTATTTTTAGACATAGATTGAACTACACAAAGAAAGAATTGAAAGGAGTGTATTGCCTCTGGCCACTGAACTGAAACGTTGGGTTCGTTCGTTTGCTTGGTGAAGCTGTTTTTTTTTATAGTTATTATTTTTCAGTGTTGTAGGATTCCTGAACATGTTATGGCATATTCTTACTCGTGTTTGGTTTATTTCATTTCTCTTATTTCGATGATTTGAAGGAATAGTTTGAGAATTACTAGATATGGGACTATAGAAGTGCATTTAATATTAAGAGGATATGATCGAGTATCGATGAGTTGAAAAAGTTGGGCCAAAATACTAAATGAGTGCAATGAAATTTCAAAATTGAGAAGGGATGTAGTTGAAGTTAGGCCAATTTATAGACATGGATGAAATTTACCCTTAATTCTTTGGGTCTACTCGTTGACGGTGTAAGTATTTTTAATCAAATGCGAACACTTATTTTGGAGAGAGAGGTTGGAGAAAAGATTCCTATGTAGCCACATGTGGCTAAGTTTATGTACATAAATAACCTATTTGATAACTTGCAAAATATCCATTAGGAATCTTTTGTGTATCGTGGTGTTTTTTTGCCATCCAGTCATTTTTGCTTAATCTCCTGTTAGGGTAATACATGTATAAGTTTGGTAATCGATAATAAAAACTCCATACAACTGATTTTTTTAATGTGCTTCAAACCATGATCACTAATCCATCATTCTTGGGGGTAATTATCGGTAGAGAAATTTTGTGTTATATATGGTAATCCTTTGAGACTCCATTTTATACCGTAAATTTACAAATCGTTTTCTTTCGCTCATAATTGTCGCACCAAAATCCAACCTGAGCACCCTTTTTTTTATTTTTGGGCACCCCTTTGGTTCACCTTGGCACTTGTTCACAAGTAGGCTACTCAACAGATCATTTAGATATCAAAGGAAAATGAATAGTTGCTTAAAAGTAAATATATTCAATCAAATTTGATCATAATAAATAGCAAGTTAGTTAACCAATTGAATGAGAGTAAAAAATTGATAAAATGTGTTTCAAATAGCAAATAACAATTTCAAATATTGACAATAGGCTCTTGGAGCTTCTTCTAAAGTATATCATCGCACGACTAATATCTATCACCAAGCAGGTTTTTCGGTGGAAAGGACTTCAGAGAACTTGTTTTTTGGTATTCAGAAAAACAAAAGTTACAACTTGTTGAAAGCAAAGGACTTTAGAGATCCTCAATCACATTTTCTACGAACCTTCTCCCATCATATCTTAAGCACATTCTCCTCATCTAATGCACTCCTTTTACTATCCATGCTCTCCTGTCCCACTAGAGGTGTCTCTTTCTTCAACGTTGATGCTGGGAGCTGCATTGTTTGCATGCATGACACAAATTCTTGTAACCCTAGAGGTTTATTCCCCCCCCTCCCCCCCCATAAACCTAGTCATACTTTCTTTCTTTTTGTTAATGAAAAGGAGAGAATCCCTAACAAGTTCGTGGTTTCGAACTTCAAACTTTATGAATGAAGGATAGATCTAACGACCCTTATCCGCCACTACAGACAACTTATGATGGTTTGTTGGAAGGCCGAGGTGTTGATGTGCACAATATTCCCTTGTAGCTTAGGGGAATCAACCATGAAATGGTACGATCTTCCAAGAAATTACATCGATAGTTGGGTGCAATTGGTTGAGTAATTTATAGCTCGGTTCATTACTAGTGTTGAATCATCATGGTCCTAGTCTAGGGGGGTTGGGGTCAAGTCTGGGTTCAAGGCCGAGGTCAGGTTCGAGTTTGGGATTGGGTTCGAGGTTAAGTCCGAGTCTAGGGTTCGGGGTTGGGGGTAAGGTCCAGGGTCCAGGGTTCAAGGTCGAGTCTAGGGTCTAGGGGGTTGGGGTTAAGGTCGGGTTTCGCTCTAAGATCGAGATCGGGTCCATTGTTGTGTCTGGGTCCGATTTCAAGTCTTGGTCAAGATTAGGGTCTAAGTTTGGGCTTGGGATTCGGTTTTAGATTTGGGGTTGGGCCTGGGATTAAGTTCGAGTCTAGGTTGAAGTCATGGGTTTAAGATTAGGTTTGGTCTCGGGATCGGGTCTGGTCCAAGTTTATGAATTATCTATTATTTGAATGAATTTTTAATTCTATTTTAACACTTAATCCTAGTTATTATCAAACATTAAAATAATAATGTACATTCTATTTGCACCTATAATGCTTTTTCATGTAAAAGCACTCCCATGCATAAAACAAAGTGTATGAAATTCATGGTTATGTTTGCCTTTAATTATGTGGATACTTTTAAGGTGAGGGAAATGACATATAAAAGGACTAGTTATTGTCTATGCTTGAAAATACAGAGTAATAAAAAAAATGGTCAACAATAAATATATTTGTATTCACATCTAAAATTAAATCACAAATATAGATGAGAGAAAAATAAATTTAAGTACTGGTTATAGTGAAAGTGAACGATGGTAGTAGTGGTGGGTGGTAATGGCAGTGGTGGGGTGGCGACGGTGGCAGTGGCAGTGGTGATGGTTGTGAGGCGATAGGGGTAGTGGTGATGGTTGAACATTGGCGGTGGTGGGGTGGCGCCAATAATAATGACGACGGTGGTGATAATAAGAGACAATGGTGGTTGTTGTGGTAGAGGTGATAGTGGGATTGTGGCGGCGGCAATGGTAGGACAGTGGCGATGGTGGTAGGGTGGTGGTGGGGTGGAGGTGACGGTGGTGGTAGTGGTGGAGTGACGACGGTATTTATGGTGAAGAGGACAGTATAGTGACGACAACGATGGTAATGGTAAAGGATGGGGGGTGGTGGTAGTGGTGAGGCAGTGGGTGGGGTGGAGACAGTGGAGGTGGTAGTAGTGATGGTGGTGGAGGGTAGTTTGGTGGTGGGTGGGGTAGGGTGGTGTTGATAATGGTAATGGTGGTGAGGTGGTGGTGGTAGTGGTGGTGGTGATGGTGGTGGGGCGGTGAGGTGATGATGGTAGAGGTGATGGTAGGGTGATTGTAAACACTATTTTTTTAAAAAAAAATATTTATGAGAAATTATAAGTATCAAAAATATTATCCAAACAAATCCTTAGGGGTCTATTTTTCCTATTAAATTTGGATTGTTGATATTAACCGTTATATTAACTTTAAAGTAAAATTAAAAGAAATCTCAACCGCGAATTGTAAAAGTCCTTTTGTTTATCTTTTAAGATTTAAATTGTATTATATTTTATTATATAGATTAAATAATAATAGAGAATAAAGTAATTTGCCATCAATTTTATAGAAAAGTGACTTAAAACGAAAGTAGGTAATAAACACCTCACTAGAATGGACAATTAGAGGCCCATTCCGGGGGACAAACACTTTTCAAAAGTATAAAATATTTAATGGAATCGTTACATTACATTATCATCATCATCATACAATAACACTATTAAATAAGAAAATAATAAGTGTGGAAGTATATTTCTACACAATTTAATAATTACCTCTCAATGAAATAAAGTGACTATCTTGCATAAAGACGTGGGATTCATTTTATTCATTTGCTTGTTTTTTATTGGTTAGTATTTTGAAGGTCTAGTGCGGTGAACATTAAAAAAGAAAAAAAAAAAGGAAAAAGTGTGGTGAACAATAAAGAAAGAAAATGATCAAGAACAAAATTTTAAAATTCATGTGGTTCGATAAAAATTCTATTTAAGTGCACTAGTTCAACTCTAATCCTGGTATTAGTAAATATGATACCAAATCGTGGTAAAACTCTTGCACTAGATCATCAACAAATTCTGATAAAATTGCTCTAATAAATATACATTGAAAGTCCTTAATATACCCACACTATACCTAGTGAATAAGAGTCGCACATTGCAATAGACGATAACATTACATGGTAGATCTCATTATAGCTCTAATAACAAACTTTCCATGGAATGGGCAAAGGTTCAAGACTCACCGGCTGCGAGGTTTTGCAGAGGAAAAGAGGTTAGGTTCGTACCGAGTGGAAGACTCGAGTTCATTCCCAACAAACAGTTTGGCTGTTTTCACCGGCGTATGTCCAAAATAAATCATTAGAATCGACCAGACTTTCCCTATGACCCCACTAAAAACCATTCCAAAACTTATTCATTAAAAAAATTACATCAATCAAGGCCATAATAAGTCAGGTGTTGTTATTTCAACGAAAGCCACCTTGATGTTATTTCCTTTCCTATTCCAACATCTTTTCACACCACTTAAACTGGTGGTTTGATGGTAAGCCATCGTCATTTAAGGTCATCTTTGACTATCATGTGGTTATCAAGTAGGGTTCAATTCACGAGATTAACGCGGTTTACTGCTTGATTTTATAGTATTGTGGTGACAAGCTATCCTTCCAAGTTAATAGTTATGACTAAAATTAAACATTCCATAGTGAGAGACCCTCATGGTTAAATTACTACCGCCACCCTTTTCCATCCTATTCACAAGCAAAAATAAAAAATAAAAAAACCGTCTTTTTCACATTTCCTACACGTTAGCATTTTAACTCTCTTTGGAATTCATGGTAGTGATGAGAGACTAGAGAAAAAAGAAATAATTGGGGTTGATTTTGGCTTTGAATTGTTTGCAAGGTGTTTCATATTTTCACACGGTAGTCCTCGTGTGAACAAAAAGCAGAGGACTAAGGGTGAGTCTATTATGCCAAGTCAATAAGGTCTCTGCTTGCTAGGATTGATCTCAAACGTTTCAAGTTGGTTGGACACAAAATATAAAATTATGAGAGCATTTGATACATATTTTGTTGGCAAGCCTAAAATCTTTAAAAGATTGCTATGTGTAAAGATCTGAATAAAAAGCAAGAATCAATTAGCCAAAAACTCTAGTTTGAAAGAGGGAGTAACTACCTAGAAGTTACAAAGTCAAGTAACTGTTGATAAGGAAAAATCTTCGAAGGGAGTGACTATAAAAGAAAAAAAAGATGGAAGTTAAAGGACAACTCAAACCCCTACAAGACTCACGATCAGGACATTTAGGAGTAGTGTTAGAGTTAATTTTTAGGAAATAGTTAGTGCTATTATCAAAGGTTGTTAAATTAGTCACTCTGTAAGCGAAACCTACTCAATTGAATTAATAAAGACATATTTCTTTGTTAGTTCAGTGTTTTATGTGTTTTGTTATTGAATTTTATTTAAAGAAGTCCTGAAATAAAATAGTAGAACCATTCATAAGTAATCGCCTAAAAA